AAGTACAGTTTCAACAAATAATACACTGCATATATTCTTCTTAGTGGTTAATTGCTGTACAAGATGCAGACTTGTGATCCTACTTACAAACACCAACAGCAGTTCCTCTTATTTGAGCTTAACAATTTTTTCTTTCATCATTTGTTTATAATACAAATTGGGATACCGATTTAAAAGCATTATTTCTCTTGAATTACCAGCTGGTCTAAGTAATATAAAAACTGGTTTACTCACAGGTCATCAAAAAATTTCAGATAATAACAAAATTCCATATGGTGGAGAGAGATTTCTGGATAAGACTCCAATTAGTGAATAGAGGAGTGGTCAACCTTTGTTCATTGAGGAGCCCCCAATAATCTCCACAGTCTCTTGGAAGATACCCCCAATAATTTGTTCATTGGAAAAGACAAAATTTTTCAGAAAAACTATAATAAAGTTTTCTCATAAAAGATGCTCTTGGGGGCTGGTGAGATGGCTCAGTGGTCTAAAGCACCTACTTAGAACAAGCTTAGCAAAGCACAGGGACGGCGGTTCAATCCCCCAGCACGACATGCCAGCTAGCCCCGCCCCCTGGTGGGCTGAGCTGGCCCCCCCCCACATAAATAAAAATTTTTTTAAAAAAGATGCTCTTAATACAAAACAAAATTAAGAAACAAACAAGGCTGAGGAGATAGCTCAGCAGTCTAAGCACCTGCCTGACAAGGGCAAGGACCCAGGTTCGATCCCCAGTACCACATGCCCTGCTGGCCCTGGAATCCCAGGCGTGTTGTGCTACATAGTGAGACCCTGACCAAATGAATAAATCAATAAAAGATTAAAAAAGGAGAAAGAAACAAACGTTTTCACATGTGTTTGGTAATTCATTATTGTTAATCTCATGGTGTATTAAATGTATTCATGATTCTGAATGTACAGGTCTTCCAAAATATAAAACAAGAATCGCTGCTATGATAAGACTTTTCTTTCAGATTCAGACCTCTGCCTTTAACAAAAAACTTGTGATGTATATCCCATTAAAGGACAACAAATAGGTAAAAGTTTCTTATGTATTAGATAGAGATGATTGATTAAAAAGGCTATGTCATGTCAAAATGAAAATTTAAGTAAGTTACAAAATTGAAAATTTAAGTACGAAAATTTAAGTATGCCAGGATTGTCATGCTTCAATGTTATGTAGGTTTTGGCTTCTAAATTTCTGTATAAAATATGTAATTATTGTCAGTTAACATTCAATAAGGATTTAAATATTAGAATATCAATGATTACTAGAAAATAACAATTCCACTTTATGTTCTAAAGTGTTTGATATTCAGATAGACAGTAATGTTAAGCTTACTGCCTCTGTTACAGAATAAAGTCATTAAGTTTCTCTTCTGGATGTTTAACAACTGTGGCTTGGAGACCAAAAATTAGAGATAGAGGGGCTAAGAAGATAGCCGATATTTTGGCCCTAAACCTCCAAGGTCAGTGAGGACTCAGGACATAAGAGAATCTCTGCTGTGACTACCTGAAACTTGGTTCAATCCGTGATTTTTTTTTTTTTAAATCCCTGATCTTCTGATCAAGGAGATTATTGGACCACAGAGGAAAGTGATTCTATGATGTTTAGGGTGCCTATGGAGATCACCTGGAGAGAAAAAAAAAAAAAAATCTCCCCAGCTTTCATAGAAAGCCAACAATGGCTGTGACTCACCCAGATGGCCGACACTGACAGAAGATCTAAGAGGTGCTGTAATTGGCTCCAAGGTGAATTCTGAGGAATTTTAACTGACGTTGATAGATAGCAGGATGTTAATTTTCATTTATATAGGTCTCACCTTAAATTCATCTTTCTTTTGGTACCAGGGATCAAACTCAGGACCTTGAGCTTGCCAGGTGCTTATGCTGCTGAGCTATCTTGCTGAGCTATCTTAACTTGGTCTTAACCATCCAGCAAAAAAGTATAATCATGAGATGTGGAAAGCAATGCCATAATAATATGCTAGCTGTAAAAGGTTCAAATCAGTAAACTTCTGACAATTGCCTGCTGTCCTGGTAACTCACTATTGCTACAGATTATTGGGCTGCAAAGGGTTAAATTGCTATCTACAAGTACAAAAAATCTTTGGACTGGAAATCTTTAACCTAAATGAATAAGTTCATAAAGAATGAAAATGTTTTCAACAGAGTTCTCCAAACACAGCTTCTCCAACTGCAACTGAATGTTCATCATTAACACCAAAAACAGAAAAGGAGGAGATGTTGGGGGCAGCTAAAGCTGGAAATTGGTCATGTGGGTGAGGGCAGGACAAGGCCACAGTGCCTAAAGCAGTCAAGCTGCGTCAGTCTTGAGAAAAGCATCCTGCCCACTCAGTGTCAGCTATTAGTTGTTAGGCAACCTTGTGCCTTGTGATACTAACTTTGCAAGAGTATAAATAAATGCCCCTACTGCTGTTAGGGTCCTTTGCCCATCAAGCAAATAGGCTTCCACCTGAAATCAGTTCTTGTGTCTTTATCTTTTCTTTATTCCTGCCACCATTTCTCCCTAGGTACATGGAGAGACCAATGAGTCCCTACATTCTATCATCACATACTGTTAATTCCAGTACTACATCTTTAATCCGTATCACATATCCTCAATCCAGCCACCTCCGAAAAGCCCAAGCTATGACTGCATGAGGTGTTTGGGGGTCATCTAGACAGCAAATGCCACAGCAAATGTCCAACAACTCTTCCATGTCAGGCTTCGGGGTGGGTCTGGTGAAACAGAGCAGCTCAGTCCCGGAGAAGCCCACATCTGGAGAGGGTAGAGACGAGTGTAAGCCCTGTTCTCTGCCAGTGCACTCTTGCCAATGAACCCCTCTCTGAGAAGAGACAGTGTGGACTCTTAAGACCTTGTAGCAATAGTTGGCTAGTCTTGGGGACAGACACCTGGTGTGAGTCAAAATTCTCCTGGGACTATGCAGCCCAGTTAAGAAGAGAGCAGACACTGGTTGCTGCTGGGGTGGAAGCATGTCACTGTCCACAGAACACCTGAGGTGGCCCTGTTTCCTCCTGGCTCAGGGTACTAGTGCTTCTACTAGAGCTATTTCCTTCAGGGAATAGCTCCTCTCTGCAGCTATTCAAATGATCAGTTCCATCCAGAGAGCAAGAACAAGGCTATGCCAGTTGCTAGTGTGTCATCCTTGTAAAAAGGCCATGCTAATCTTCTCTGTAACATCCCAATTTTAGTATATGTGCCGCTGAAGCAAGCACTCTGCCAGCCATTTACACCCTGAAACTCTGCATTGCTGAATGGAGAAACTACTTGCCTGGTGAGTTCCCCACCCCACCCCACATGCTTGAGCACAGCCCCAGGGGCCAGTCAGTTAGGGGGTAGTCCCCAGCACAAGCAACCTCTACCTTTGCCTTAGCACCAAGGCAACTGGAGAGGTAGCTCCATTCTGACTCTGACCTGTGCTGTGCTGATCTGTGCTGTGCTGTCACCCTTGCTGTCCTGCTCCTGCTCAGTGCGAGTCAGCCATGGTCAGCAGCTGACAGAGCTGCAGAGCCACTCCAGCATGAATATACCAGCAGAGGCTTCCCAGGGGAGGAAGACTCACAGGGCCTCAAAGGGCTGTAGGCATTGGCCAAGCAGGGATGGAGGACAGGAAAGTACAGCAGGCAGAAAGGCAGGAAGGGAGAGGACCCAGCAAGATATGGGGGACTGAACAGCAGAAGATCTCAGTGGAGAGTCTGGCACTAAAGGCTAGAGGGTGGGGACTCGGCCTGGAGTGAGAGCTGGGGTCGGTACAGTCCTCTTAGTGGGCTGGACTCTATACCTGGCCGGCCAGCACTGTGGCCCCAGAGGGAGGGAGGGTCTGCAAGAGCCTCTGCTGTTTTTACACAAGGGGTTGCTTATTCTTCCCCACACTAGTAGCCAGCAAAGAGTTAAGCTGAAGTCCCTGGATTTATGCCATTTTTAAAAAAGAGCCTGGGTGGGGCAAGGCAACGCACAGTTGTCCCAGGCTGGCCCTGCCCTGGCAGGCGGGCACTCCGCGAGCATTCCATCAAACTATTGTCTCTGCAGTGGGCACTGCCCTCCAGGATCTCCTGAATCTTACTAAGTAAGCTCTGCTCAGGATGCTATGTGCCCCCAGACACGTTCACTCAGGCCAGGCCCATCAATTTATGGGTAACTGTGCTTTTAACCTTAGGGCGTGCCACTTCTATACGTGCAATTTCAGTTCTAGGTTCAATTAGTTTTCATCCTAATGGCTTTTAACCAAGTCCAAACTGCCTTTGTGGCTGTGAAAAATTAAATGGCTGGAATGCTGTGTAGCTTCTTACAGCTTTGTATCTGGCAACATATCTTTCCCGTGTATCACGTCCCTTCCTTTTTCCCTCCGTCCAGCAGCAGCAGCAGCAGCCCCATTTCAGAGATGGGAGGCAGAGCTCAGAGACCAAGACACTTTCCTAGGACCCCAGGGGCAGCCGAGCTGGGTTGGAGGATTCCTAACCCAGTGCTCACTGCACTGCATCCCAGTTTCCTCCGAGTGAAGAGTAGCAAGACGAGCGAGCAGGCCTCAGACTGAACTCAATCCTCAGTTTACCCGAGTGCCTCACACACCTGTCCTTGTCTCTGTGGGCTTCAGTCTTCTCACCTGTATGGTGGCCTTCAGTGCTCTGAAGGTCAGGCTCCTCCAAACAGGATGCACTGACCAAGGACAAGTGCCTTCCCTGCTGTCATACTCCACAGAAGGAAACAGCAGACGCTAGAAAGTGACGGTTAAAAGTAGTGCAATTTACCTGTTAGCCACCAGAGTGCAGTCAATGTCCAGCCGCTTTGTCTTGGGAATGGCGTACAGGGGGTACCTGTCCCCATGGCGGATAAACACCTGCACCGAGATCAGCTTAAAATGATGTGGGGCATGGCCTGGAGGAGAGAAGCACATTGTCTGGTTATTATTTAGTAAATGTCACTCCTTTTCAAAAGTGCTGAGGGAGAGAATGGCCAACCCTTGCCAGGAATCAAGAGGAGGCAGCAGCAGGGGATGCTAAGAGCCCGAAGAGCTGCTGCCTAGGGGCCCAGGCTGTCCGTGGGCAGGGCTGCTGTGAGGAGGAGCCTCATGAGGTGCAACAGAGGATTGCCTGTCCCAGGCCTCAGGACAGGACAGGGAGGCGCTGAGGTGGGCGTGGCTGAAGGCAGTCAGAGGTGGGCAGACTCTTCACACAGCCTCACCCACATGCAGACTAGGGGAGGCTCGCAGGGACACTGGAAACAGTAGCCTCAGCTTTAAATCCGCTCTGAAACATAGCAGGGCAAAAAGAAAGACTCCCTACCATCCCTGATACCTAGCCAAGGTCATCTCTCCACCTCGCTGATGACACCCTGGGGATCATGACAACGGGAAGCACTCAGGCGCCACTTGTGACCTGGGTGTCATGGGCACCAAGGTTGTGCGGGGTGGCACAGCCGGCCTACCTTCCATGCTGCGCTCGGCCACGCTCGGGATGTTACAGTACAGAAGAGCTTCATACACGGGGTCGGCCACCCGGGGCTCCGTCACTGGGTCGGGCAGGATCCTCTTCCGGCTCTTGCTGCTCGATCCATCTTTCGCTGTCGACATGGGGATTAGGTGCACTGCAAGGACAGCAGAGCAGGTCAGGACCACGCAGTCAACACCTGAGGGGCAGTGAGGCGGCCCAAGTGGGGCTGAACGTCACCGTTAGTTGTTCCCTCCGCAGAAGCTGGGATGGTCTGAGTACAGAAGACATTGGCTTCACCCTCCTCAGGGGGCCTCGGTCCTCGCAGCCCTGCCCACTCTGCACCGCCTCCCTCTGCTCACCAGTAAGTAGGACTGTGGTACTGGGGGTGGTCTAGACAAGTGGAGAACATGCACCCAATTCCTTTTTTGCATTATGTGATACTAGGAATTGAACCCTGGGCCTTGCACATGCTAGGCCAGTGCTCTACCACTGAGTTACTCCCACAACCTCTTTTTTGAGACCAGGTATTGCTAAGTTGTGCAAACTTGCCTTGAAGCTATGATCCTCCTGCCTCAGCCTTCTGAATAACTGGGGTTACAGTGCGCACCACCATACCTGTTTCTACCCTCGGTTCGTTGGGCCTGATAGCCTCATCCTGACTCCCTGGCAGTAATAAGGAGGACAGATCTGTGCAGAGTGCCTGCTAAGTCACTCAAGGGAGTATTCGATACACCTCCATTCTCAGCCTCTCTGGTCCCAACCACAGCATCTGCCTGCTAACCCTCATGAGACCACTGAAGGAAGGTGTGGACCCAGCATCGGTACACAGAGCCCTGAGCCGTGTGCATGCCTTTACTTCCAGGCTGGCCCTCCCCACCCCAGCCCCTGGAGTCAAGTGTGGGTCTTGGTAGTCTGTTATATTTGCCCACCTGGCACCCCTTTTCTGTCAGTGAGCCCTGTCCCTGTGGGATCAGGTTGTCACTCAGAGTGTCCTTATCCCTGAGTAGGGTGGGCATAGGGCTAGAGTTGAAGAGGACATGATAGGCAGTTGGGCTTCTCTTCCTTGTAAGAGGTGATGGACAGCAGTAGACGGGCTCTTTCTGCTTATGGATGCTGGTCAGCAAGAATGGCAGCCGGGCTGCTCCAGTCACCTGTCCCTCCCCAGATGGCCCCTGTCCTAGGGTCCCCAATCTTTCCATCTTGGGGAGCATCTTTGTAGCACCTCAGATTTTCCAGAACTGTTGTACTCTCAGCATCTACCCTCTGAGAGGAATATACAAAATCAGTGTGTCCAAGGTCTACTTAACTTTTATAAAAGGCCTACTAATACATATTAATATATATTAATAGACCAATCACTATCTAAATCAGCTTAAATTCCCTAATTCTTCTACCTAAATTTTTAATACTTCCTTTTGGTCACTGATGCCATAAACAAAACAGATGCCATAAACAAAGATGGACAAACAATATACTGAGGAAAAAATATTTGCAACACATAGGACTCCTACAACTGAAAAGTCATGAAAGCAGATGAATGGGCTAGTTACAGAAAAATACACATCAGTGGTCAATAAGCATGAAAAGATACTCAGGCTATTCATAATTAAAGAAATACAAAGTGAAACAAATGGTTATGACTGCTTTCCCATCAGATTGGAAAACCATGTTTTAATAATATCCAAGAGCAGCAAGAGTGTGAGGAATCAGAGAGTGCCACACATCGGTGGAACAAGTGGGACCGGAACAACCTGGATGGGTTCCGTCGGTGTTTTATATGTGTTATGTTTTATATGTATGCTAATTTTGTTATTGAGAAAATGATATCAATTTCCATCTTCAAAGATGTAGGGTCAAAGAGACTGATGGCAGTGTTGTCTATAACAACAAAAAAGAGGAAAGTAACCTAAACACCCATCATTAACAGACTAGAGAGTTTCATCCAATCTATGTTAGTCTCCACCCCACTGAAAATGGGACAGAAATCAAAGATAAAATGAGTGAAGTGAATGAACCAAGCCACAGTATACTAAAAGAATCCTTTTTGGTTAAAGAAAAAACACTACAAACATTCAGGCATTTATTATGTAAATGCATAGAACAGTGTATAGAAGGATATCCCTCATGATATGGGTGGTTTCCTCTGAAGAATGGATGGCATGGGGTGTGAAAAGTATTTTTGTATAACGGCTACATTTCTTGATATACCCACCACATGTTTATGTATCTATATTATACTAGACACACGTTACAGGTATTATACACATATTTCTATAATGTCTAGATATACACATATATGTGCATGCATTACTTGTGTTATGAAAACAACAGTCAGGAAGCTACAGAACTGGCCCTTCACCAGCATGAAACCAGCCCTTTAGCTACCGTCATCCCATAGCTAGAACATACTAGAAAGGCTAACACACAGCTCAGGTGTGTGGAGCTAATTTACTATTGCGGATTTACTGTCAGAGACTATGGAACAGCAGGCGTCTCATGGTGGTGGCCGAGTGACTGGCCCTCTGGCTGAGTGGCACCCTCAGTCCTGGACTCTATGGAATCCACATCCAGGCCCTTGGTCATGCTTATGGTACACCCTCTCTTCTCATGGGCCTGGGAAAGGGGCAGTTAAGGAGATCTCATAAGACCAGTGGCAGAAGGACAGCAGGGGGCAGCATGGGATCCTGGATGTCCCTGGCTTATCTATAAGCAAGTGAGAAGGCCCTTGGGAGCTGACATTTGGGAACCATAGTGGTTGGCTCCAATGACCTTTACATTACTCATGGAAGTGGTAGTTTGAAAGCCGCAGATAAAGATTTGGTCATTATTAGAAAGGAGGCCTTTCATCCAGACATATTTTATTTGCTCTTTTCTGTGGTGCCTGTGATTGTTGGCCTTGTTCATTGGTTCAACTTGCTGAGATCACCCTGTACTATGTGCGTCTTGCCAGTCAGCAGGACATATTACCAGTCCACATGGGCCTCTGTGTGGAGCCTCCAACTACTGACATTCATACATAGCTCTGAGGCCCAGACATGGAGGGTGGGCTGGTACTGGTAGGGGTGAGAAGTCCCTGCAGCTCCATCCGGACCCTGCCACACAACTTGGTTTTGAGGTGCTCAGAGCCAGTCCTGCTGCACGTTTCTCCTCCATGCTAGCTGTTTGCTTGCAACTCTCAGCCCACCTGCCCTGCTTCCTGATAATGACCCACTCTACAACCTGTGTCTGGAGCTACCTCCTCCAGGAAGCCTACCCTGAATCTCAGGAGGTTTCCACATCCCAATTCTATGATCCCTTCCAGTTCTGGCTGCTGTTAGCCTCACGCAACAGTATGCATAACTGAGGGTGTCCTAGTTTGTCACTCCACCATCCCAAACATCCAGAGGGCCAAGACCATGCCTCTTGCATGTTTAAATCCATCAATGACTGGCACCTGACAGGCCTTCCAAAAATGCTTGCTGCACTGAAGGTCTGCTCTGATCCAGGTACTGTGTTCTCTGCTTTTTTTTTTTTTTTTTTTTTAATTTTTAAAAATTCGTATGTCTTTGGTGCAGGGTCTTGCTATGCAGCTCAGACTCATAGTGATCCTCCTGTTTCAGCTTCCACAGTGCTGGGATTACAGGTATGTGCCGCTATGCCCAGTTTTGGTGGCTGGTTTGGCAGGCCTAGGGTGGGTCCAGCATGGCATGTGGTACTGGGGATCAAACCCAGGTCCTTGCACTTGCCAGAAGGCACTTGGACCACTGAGCTATCTCCTCAGCCCTCCATGCTGTTTTTGTACTGAGGATTGAACCCAGGTAACTATATTCTCGGCATTTTTTAAAATTTTGAGACAGCATCTTGCTAAACTGCCCAGGTATTACATGAAAGATGATGAAAGAGCTCATTGAGTCCTCATGTAAGCACGAGGTAAAGTGGTTATCTTAGCATTCTGGAGGTGATGCAACCCAGGCCACCAAGGTGGACAGGAGACAGCAAGCTGGCCCTGGGTAAGCCTCTGGTCCCCATGAAACTCACAGGCAAACACACTGGCAGGAGCCTGCAGGCTGGCCCTGCCTCTGCCCTAGCACTGCGCCCCTTGCTCCATGTGCTCCTTGGGACTGGTCTTGCTTTCTGGACAAAGGGAGTTGAGAGATGGATATAGAAGCTGGGAGATGGGAGACAGTTTGGCCTAGGGACTCTGGGACGCTACTTGTCCCAGAAGACCTCATCTAGGTTCCCAGATCTTCCAGTTGCCTCATGGGACAATCAGAAACTCTGGTGACCCCAAGCAGGTGAGAGCAGCTCAGATGTCATCAGGCAAGAGAAATGGGCTGTGGGGCCTTAGCATGGGGGCGGGGAAGTCAGTGGAAAGAGCGCAAGTTCATTATATAGGTAAAAAAAACCCTGGCATCTAATCAGAGCCCTGGGGCCACAGTGCCACCAAAGCCAATGGAAGTAACAGCAGAGGCATCCTTTACTGATGAGGAATGCCTCCCAGAGGACGTGCCCTTCCTCTATGGTGTGAATACAAGCAGGAAGGACGATATCTATCAGCTACCACATCTTCATCTCTTTCTTCCTGTCCACATATCTACAATGCTCTTGTATAAAGATGCCGACAGGATCTCAATCTCAAAGAAATGGCAGAGAATGTTATCTCAAAGGCATCTTCCTGGGCAGAAGCAACTAGTAAATGTCTCTCTGCTCCTCTCACCAAATGGGCAGAGGGTATTTTGGCTGACATTATTAGCGGACACCCCCAAAGTTGTGACTCAGGTTCAAGCCAATCTGACTCATCATCTGCTTTTTCCAGCACTGGCCCTCATGCTAGGAAGAGACCCCAGAAGCCAGGCATGGACTCTGGGAGCTGATCAAAGGGCTTGCCTGAGGTCCTGTACCCTGCAAGGCCAGGCCTGTTAACTAGCTCCTCAGCCTAGGGTCTATGTATCTGTTCTCAGTCATCTGCCATTCATTATTTAGTAAGAGACAGGGAACAGAAAGCATTTCTACCATAAGGAGAAATGGTCTTGTCAGCCATAGTGACCCCTGTATTCCCTGACCATGGGTTTTTAATTAAAAAAAAATATTTATTTGGTACAGGGTCTCACTACACAGCTTGGACTCATAGTGATCCTCCTGTCTCAGCCTCCACAGTGCTGAGATTACAGGTAT